TGATTTCGCAAAACTATTAGACAACTATAAAATGGCTTTTTCAGAAACATTTATCTTATGCAAAATTGCTATTATAATACCACCTTCAAGCGCAGGAGTGGAACGAACATTTTCAAGTCTAAGGCAAATAAAGACTTATTTAAGAAACCATATGTGCAATGAAAAACTAACATCTGTTGTTATATTAAAAATTGAAAAAAGAATATCCAAAAGTTTAAATTTAGATATAGTTGTAGATAAATTTGCCTCCATCATTATGGATGATTATTATGAATCGACGAATTATGTTGTAAATGTTGTAATATTTAAAATAATATAAAACCAAAATCCACACAAATTTTTACTTTTTATCAGTTTACCTACTCCTCTCTTTTACATTAGTGTCTGATTTATATGATTAAAATAAATGTCTTTAATAGCTGATATACCAAAATATCAATCCCATTAATAAAAGTATTATGGAAAATCCAAATATAGAGCAATAATATACAAATTAAAAATAAATATTTGCCCCACCGAAAATTTTTTTTCCCGGATCCTCCCCCCCCCCCCAGAAATAAATGTCTAGTGCCACCCCTGTGAAGTGTGTAATGCATAAAATGCTTAACAATGATTATATCAAATGTAACGTTTTCGTCAAAAAATAATTCAAACTACTGTGTTACTGAAGTCTAGGAAAAAAACGACAAGGCAATAAACGAAAAGAAAAAAAACGGCAAATGCATTTAACAAATTCGTATTTTATATTTTTATACCTAGGTACTAGAACTTCGTTTTTTGCCTTTTATTGTACTAATGTAAGTTTGAACGCACGCAATGTAGAAAAAGTCAACTGTGTAAATATTTGTTGAGCTATAAAAGTCAACATTACATTAAATTAGACGCACTTAATTAATTAATTGAAAAAATTAAATGTAATAGATCAAATAATAGACAAATTATAATAAAATAAATTACTTTAAGAATTATAATTACATTATAAAAATGTACAAGTTTCTGATTTTTTCCTTTGTATTCACATAACTACCTATCTGTATACTAAATTTGAACTTTCTAGGTTATCTGGAACTGGGTTAGAATTTTGATCTATATGTCAGTGATAAAAATGACGATTTTGAGACCTTAATATTTAAATAATAAAATAATAAATAATAAAATAACGGTTTGAGGTGTGTTTATGAAATTTGGAGCATATATGTATTTCGTAAGTCTCAATATATGAGCCAAATTTAAGATGTTTATGTTTAATAGATTTTAGTTAAGAGGGGGTCAAAAGTGGCTAAAATTGTTCGTGGAATATTACACATGATACTGTTCACCAGTTCTGATGGGAGATTGTAAGTTCCACCCGAAATGAAAAGGTAAAAATAAAGTCTATGGTAAATTCCGCAAGAAAAAATATACAGGTACATAAATGGATTTGTACATTCCGCCCGGAAAAATAAATATTTTTAAATTAAGCGTTCTGTGACTGTACCATGAGACTGTACTGTTTGCTATGCGGTGTGTTATGTACTGGAAGTTCCTAACAAATGGGCCCGTGATAACCGTGTGTGTTACACGTATTCATCGACCAATCATTGGGCCAACAAATGTCACTCAGGACTTCGCTGTGCAACATGTTCAAAGAAACACCATACGCTGCTTCGTGGGTTTTCAACACGACGCCTTAAGAGAGCGCCCCATCTAGCGACGATGCGCCCTTCTGTGCTGCATCAACGACATGCAGGAACGACGATTCATTAGCCGTGCTATTGGGTCCCGCTCTTATTCATATTCGTGACCATTGTGGCACCTGACAAACGGCCCGTGCCATTGTCGATTCAACATCCCAAATAAGTGCCATAACTGTGTCCTGTGTTACTCGTTTAGGACTCCGGCTGACAAACTAGACAGCACCGATCAGCGGCCTATCCGGTGCAGCAGTTGCTGATGTCCGAGGTATGGTCGATTGTGTCGTCCAACCAAGGTTTGCTACGGAACCACAATTGAAAACAAAGGCGTGGGTAATGCCGTCGATCTCTATCTTCAGGATTTTCTCGTATGCTATTAAAAAGAGCTATTACATTTTTAATATTTTTCTTAGCCATAGATAATTCTTGTTTAGAACTTTGCAGTTGAATGCTTAAGGTCTTGGTGTATACAAACAAGTTTGCTACTATCTCAAGAGACACTAGAAATTCACTTCTTCTTACACCAGAATTAAAATTTGCTGCCTTATAGGATGTTTCTCTATTAGAATCTTTTTCTAATTCTTCAAGTGCGATTAAAATTAATTTATACAAATCATGAAATGTAATGACACAGTTATATCTTTCTACATAGCGAGTTGCACACAATGCTTTAAGTTTAATTTTATTTGGATGAGATTCAGTACTATCATTAGATATTACCCTAATTAATGTGTTATTGCGTTTCGCAGATAAAGATAAAAATACTGATATGGAATCTACTATTCCAAACATATTTCTAATTGCCGGTATTTCACATGCTTTTGAAATTGCTAAATTTAATCCATGGCTAAAGCAATGGGTATAAAGAGCAAGTGGTTGTTCTTCTAATGTAAGTGCTTGCACATCGTTATGCACACCTATAATCTATAAGTAACAACTAATAAGAATATACTTTATATACTTTAATAACATACTTTTATAATAATACATACCTGACATATTAGAGCCACCTTCATAACCCTGGCCTCTCAGATTAGCCAAACTTAAACCAAAATCATTTAACTTTTTCAATATAACTTGTTTAATATATATGCCTGTTGTGGAAAATAATTCTGTGAACCCTAAGAAATCTTCTTTAATTACATATTTTTCCATGTCCACATATCTAAATTTTAACAATGAATGTTATTTGTTAGAATTTAATTTTTATAAAAAACATTTAAACATTATTTACCTGACAGAAAATGTTATTTGCTCTTTGGTACTAATATCGGTTGTTTCGTCGCATAGCATAGAAAAATATTTTGATTAATTAACATTTGTTACAATATTATTAACAAGAACTTCATGAATAACTTCAATTATTTCATTTTGCACAGTTTTGCTAATCATTGTAGCATTTTTTGGACAATTTTCTAAATGTTCACGTAAAATTTCATCTCCAGAATCTAATCGAAAAGCCAATAGGCTGCGAAAAACACCTTGATCTCCAGTTATAGCAGAGTTAACTTCTAATTGTCCATCGTCACGATGACCTCTTAGAGGAAGGTTATTATGACCATAAAATATAATACTTTTTATTATAGGTACTAAACGTTTTTTATTTTTATCGATAATAGCCATGGATTTTTTATTTAAAATTGTTTTAACAGATTTACTAGAATTATAGTTGTCAATGAAAGCGCTACTTTTCTCAGCAGACAACAAGTGGTATTCATTATTTCCATGTTTGTTTAATAGTTCAGTAGCCTTTCTATAATTAACAAAAGGTGTTGTAATAAATGTACTTAATTTCTGAAAATTAAAATACATCTAGACTTAGTTAAGTACAATATAATTGTTTTCAAATTTATATTCCTAAAATTAGTAAAACTGTGTTAGTAGTATTTTCATTAAACAGATTTTATTTTTAATGTAATGTACATTAGAAATTATAGCAAAGAATAATGTTACCTGATGTGCTTTAGAAACACTACTTGGAGCAAAGCACACACAATATTTACAAAATTCTCCATTTTGTAGTTCACTCTAAGCTAACCAATTAATCAAGCTGAAAACATCTAGTCTGATTCCCTTGTTTAATAGCTGGAAAACTATGCTCTACATTTGGAGCCCATGTATTTTTAAGAATCATAAATTTCTCTTCATCTGATAATATATTCTTACCAACACCAAGCCCAATATCACTTGCATTCATATTGACAGAAGCAGTTTTATTTTCACAAACTAGTACCTAATATTTTATAAGCAATATAACAATCATAATATGCAAATACTAAATTATTGTATGTATTATATTGATGTAAAATGAATTAATTTATCAATATAATACATTAAAAATACTACAAAAGTTAAAGTTATTACCGAAGGACAAATGTTATTAGAGTTTTTATGTTCTGAATGTTCTGATCCTAAAGCAACTGTGAGTGCATTGTTTTTTAATGGTTCAACATTTTACCAGCTTGAAAATTTTCATAAGCGTTAAATGCAAAGCAATTTATTTTATTAAAGTAAATAAAAATTAAAAAAATTAATTAACTTCTAACTTACTTCATTCTGTAACTGTTCACTATCATTATTCCGCTGTTTTTTTTTGGAAATAAGAATGTATAAGATTTTTTCTTTTCTTTTGTTCCATTGTTAATTTTGTATTATAATTTATAATATGATTAATTTAATATAATTACTAATTAATATAATAATTTAGTACTGTTATTTACAAATGTTAGTAATAAATAATAAGTATAACACAACAAATGAACAAAATATTATTTTCAAATTTATGATAACAAAGCAATACACAAATAATACCGCGGATTTAAAATAATATAATCGGTATTCAATGAAAACTACTATATAGGTAATAATGGTAATATTATCTACATCATCAGTGTGACACAAAACACAATATTCATGTTTGATACCCATGGGTTGTGATATTTTATCGTTCCAATCACTTCTGGTTATCACTTATCAGTATTGTTGAGGAAAATATTACTTATATAAAAAAAAATATTAGTTTTATTTTGTTACCAATTTAGTATAACGTAGTAACGTACCCGACCCACTGAAAAGTACATGTAGCGTAAAATATTTGTTTTTAACCAGGTAGCAACACGCTAAGGGGGGTGCTATAGCACCCTAGAACCCCCTCTGAATCCGCGCCTGGTTGATGTACTGACCCGTTTTCGTGTACCAAAGATAGTATTCACGGCAGACATATGTAAAATGTACCAAATGTTGGTCCTACGGGAGTACCGTGCACTCCAGCACGTGTTTTGGCGCTCGTCTCCACTCGAAAAACTCGTCGAGTATGAGCTTGATACAGTGACATACGGGACAAACTGTGCCCCATTTCTAGCACTTCGCGTACTTGAGGCAATCGCTTATTGGGTATAGGTATAATATATTGTTATAATTTTATTTATACGAAATATATACACCAAATGTACATTGTTTTTTTAATAGGAGAAATCGGAAAAAAATTCCTTAGATCGAGTGAAAAAAAAAGATCCCAGCCCAAATCTAAAAAACTTCTTTTCTCTGGAAATTCAGAAAAAAAGCGTAATAATGGCCCGGATCAACATTATGGTTTAGCTGAACCATTACCAGAAGATAATATTCCAAAAGAAGTATTAGAAAAAACAAAAGAAGATTTTATAAATGCATTACAGTTGGACAGACGTGAACGGTTAGCCATTGAAGAACAAACAAGGGAACAGGCTAACTCACAAATTTGGCACGTTGAACGTAGAAATCGACTCACAGCGTCAAATTTTGGTGGCGTTTGTAAGCTTCGGAAAACTACGTTTTGCAAAAATACTGTATATAGTTTGCTATATAGGACATTTTCTTCGAAAGCAACAGATTATGGAAAAGCCACGGAACCACAAGCTATTGTCGCATTGGAAAAAACAATTAATTGCAAAGTGAATAAATGTGGACTTATTATTGATGAACATTTTCCTTATTTAGCAGCTTCTCCTGGTAAAATATATTATAGTATAATTAATAATTATAGATATTAATTAAATCAATACTACTAAATTAGTTGTATTATAATTTGTAGATGGTCTTGTCAATAATGATTTTATAGTTGAAATTAAATGTCCATTTGGAGTAAAAGACACTAAGACATTTTTAGAAGCTATAAATAGTAAAAAAGTAAGAGTATTATTATTTATTATTTGTATAAAAACGATTCTATGAAAAAAATTCAATTGATATACTTTATTAGTTTTAATAACCAATAATGAGCCACAAATAATATTTTTAAATTCCGAAAAAAAAAAAAAAAAATGAAAATCATTATTCTATGTTTCATTATCTAATTTCATCCACATTATTTTACTAATAATATTAATTTTAAAAAAAAGTTTTCTACTTTATGTAATTTTTAAATTTTTTGGTTACAGTTGCTTAAAATTTTCATTTCTTAGTTAAAAAAATTGAACATTAAATAAGTTTTTAACTGCACAATATTTTAAAAATATTCAATATTTTGACGAATTTGATACCATTTTAACTTCAGACGCTTATAAAATATTATTGAGAATTCACGCTCAAATTTTTTTTTCATAACATCTTATGAGGAACCTTATATTAATTTTTTAAGTTTATCATAATATTTGATTTCAGTTAACTTTCTGTCGTCTTGGTGAAAACGGGAAAATGGAATTAAAAGTGGACCATAGTTACTACTATCAAGTTCAGGGACAAATGCATATTTCAAAACGAAATTCTTGTTATTTCGTTGTTTATTCGGCCAATTGGATAGAAATACAAATAATTAGTTACGATGATTCTTTCTGGCGCGAAAAAATGATTGAGAAGTTAAAAGTGTAATTATTGAACATGCATTTTTTAATTTACAATACCTAATTGGATTTTGATGTATTTAATAATTAAATAAACATAATGTCAAATTTTATTTTCAGTTTTTATACAGAATGCTTACTTCCAGAAATAATCAATCCCCAGTACGGAAAGAGACTGTTGGTAGATGACATTTTAGATCCTCAATATATTTTAGAAAATATAAAAACAAAAACATCAAAAAAAAATTCTATTGATAAAAAAAATAAGTTATAATTGTTTCTAGTTTCTAAATGTCGATTACAATT